CTGGAGAAGGTTCACCCTCCTTAGTGGGTTCTGGCCTTCTGGTCAGTCCAAGGTCCAATGGTTGAATTGTGACCTCAATCAAAGTTGGGTGGTGAGCCTGAACTTGCTCTGGATTTGGAAATGCCACCTCGGGGTATGGTGGTTGAATTGGGGCTCCTTGGTGAACTGGAAAAAGTTCAACATTTTCAGAGGGGACTGGATGCTGCTCTGAAAATTCCTGCCAGACTGACAAAGGTTCCGACTGCTCAGAGGACACTGTAGACTGAGCCGAGGTTTCTTGTTGGGGTGGAGGAGTTTCAAGCTCATTAGTGAACGCTGGAGTTACGATAAGTGCAAGACCCACAGGTTTAACAGAGACATCGGGCCGCTGCAGAAGCTGAGCTTGATCCTGAACTAGAGGAGAAACTGTTGGCACAGGATCCTCTAGAGAGAAAACTACACTCGCGGAATCCGTGTCCGGGTATGGAGCCGGAGTCTCAGTCAACTCCTGATGAGGCGGGGCCAACATCTCGAATGGAGACCAGGACGTCAAGTAATTAAAGCCCCCGGCTTCTGCCAGGGGTGTAAGGGCATGGGGCAATTTGGGAGGGGGGTCTGAGGCGTATGAAGACCAAGCCTCTGTCAGCCGCGGGGGGTTGGGGGTCACCTGGACGGGGCCCAGGGCCCACTCCGGAGGCTGAACTGCCTGGACTTGAAGCCACAGTTGTAGCCACGTGAGGAAGAGCCGTGGCAACCAAAGGCGTAGCCGGGACATAACGTGCGGCGGGTCGCAGGCACAGTGACCCAGGCCAGTGAGGAGCCGGAGCCACATCCTGTGTCCGAGCTGAACCGCTATGCCAGCGCTGACGCGAGCGCTCAGGTTAGCAACCGCGCGCCCCTCCCCCGCCTAACGTTCCACCCGTTATTTATGACATCTTTAGTTACGCCACCTTTATTAGGTTAGTGCGGAGATCCAATCCGCGCCACCACAGTGGGCCTTTTGCCCAGAGTCCCCAGGGCCCAAGCCATCCTTCCCCTTGCAAAGGCGACACTTACCTCCTGCCGGGCCCTCTTCCCAACCCCTCCCTGCCCTCCCTGGCCCCAAACAATGAGGCGGGATTTGGGCTGCAGACCCGAGTGGCCCCAAACTCCAGCAGCTCAGGGGTGGAGGGGGGGTGGGAAGGATGCAGAGCTTCCCGAGGAAACCACAGGACGTAGCATTCTGGGAAATTCAAAAGTGCTAAGCCAGTTCTGGCAATCTGAACTCTTCCTCCTCAGAGGTGAAGTCTGAGACACATTCTTCCTCCCTTTGGCCACAAGGCTGACAAGAAGAGTTGCTGACCAGCAAAATGAGCACCAGTTGGGTGGCGGGAGGGGAACACACCTTACAATTATTCGAAAATGTTGCGTATATATGTCCATGCCATTCTCTCACTTTGTCACAGCAGCTCGGTGGTTTGTGACCACCTAGAGGGGTGGGATAGGGAGGATGCGAGGGAGGGAGACGCAAGAGGGAAGAGATAGGGGAACATATGTATAACTGATCTAACACACCATTGTAAAGCAAATATATTCCAATAAAGATGTTAAAAAAATAAAAAACAATAAAATAAAATGTTTGCCGTTTCCTCCAAACTCTCAGTATTCACGTCTCATTATTCATTCACCACTCTGTTATTAGGGGTTACCACTGAATCAGTGATGACTCCAGAACTTCTGTAGGAGGGGTTTGGGGCAGGTGAGCAATTCATTCTGGGAAAGACAGTCTAAAACCAAGTGAATGGCCCTTTACATTAGCATGGGCAAACTTCCCACACCCCACCTTGTCTCAACAGAGCCATTAATCTAGAAAAAACTACAGTGTCACTTTTCAGACGTCTACCCTGTGTGCACACATGGAGAAGACACTTCGAATGTTAAAGTCAGCATGTTAAGTAACTTTCTTGAACTACTGTAACTAGCACCCTATTTACTTTCTTCACAGTCCTTTTCATAATCTATTTGATTTTAGTCCTTTTTAATTGTCTGGTACACCTTTAACACCTAAACTCCAAGAGAGAAGGAGCTTATTTCCAGTGCCTAGCCATAATGGTTTCTAAATGGAACTGATTCCAAGATTGGCCTCATTTAGGAATGGATCTGTTGTTATAATCAGGTTTCCGAAATCTTTAGAATCAATACGGAATCCTTTCCTCTCACATTTCACAGGAAGCTAGACTTCTTAAAGCCCAAACATGGATACGTCTGAAGTTTCCTTGACTGATTTAAATTGAATTAAAATAATTATATTGTACAGGAAAAACTTTCAAAATTTTTACATTTTTCAGAACATAACCACCTTTTCTTTCTCTACTTTCTTCCCTTCAGAACAAACTTTGCAACATTGGGGTGAGTTAAATCATCAGAAATCTAGCCCCAAATTCAGCTCTCAATGACATGAAACACATTTGTTGCTCCTTTTTAATGAAAATCCTATACGCAGTACATTAATGTTTTCTTTTAGAAATTACGTTGACAACTTAATCACTAATTTGAGGCATTCATATAATTGGTTTACAGTAAGGTTCTTCGGCAAAATATTTAACACAGGATATATATGAGATGCTGAAATCTGGGTAATATACCTTACTTGAAAGGCATGAATAGTTTTTAAACACTGTAGCATAATCACACTTAAGGCCATAGTTACTTTGTTCCCATATCCTTGCAATTCTATCTGAGGGGAGTTCTAAAAGGCCTGTGTCTTCTCCTGTGTCCACAACTGTAGACGTACACTGATGGCCCTCAATCCTGCTCTCCAAACTTCAAATAAGGGGCCAGAGACAAGGCTCGGGACTTGGAAAAGTCCTAGAAATTCCCTGTCTCAAAAGCAGTTTCAGAGTTTCACCTTTTCCTGAGGATGACAGAGCTGAGTAGACATGCCAAAGTCTTCCAAATCCTGCTGGGTGCTTTGAATTACGGCTACACTGGCTGTGTACCCCTTGAGTTTTTATCTCCACATACTTGAATGAAATCCTGTAGCTCCTCTTTGGTTCTAGCATCTGTGGCCTCTTCACAGGGTCTATATGCCAGAGCTACTTTACCACTTTCTGAAATAAAGCTAACAAGGATCAATTCACAAGGTTTCTTGTTCTAAAACTTCCTGTATACAATGGTAGCACCCAATAATTAGACATTCTTTTGACTTCCAAAAGCAGAAAATAAGAGCATTTTCCTAGAAGTTCCCTCATCTGACACTTCCGTTTTTATCATAATTACTTGTGAAAAAATATATAACAAGTATCAACTTTGGTTCAAAAACCTTTATGATCTTACAAATAAGAACTAAGGAATAATGACATAGGAATTAAAAGCTGTGGAAACAAAAATGTTCAATCACAATACAATGAAATAGGAAGGCATTAGGTGGGCGTCAAAGTGAGTTCAAACCTGGGGTAGATACCACTGGACTATAATAGATACTTCATGTTAGAAGCAAGGCAAGTGCCTACTCCTTGGGACCAAAATTCTACCAGATACAATGAACAAAGCTTTGGAGACAGAGACAGAGAGCATTTGAACACTCTACTGGCAGAAACTGGCCCATGTACCCTTTGGACAATACAGCTTTCCTCAAAGCAAGCTAGAGCCACCAGGCTTTTTGGTCTAAGGAGTTTTGAGTACATATAAGGAGTACCTTGGCATATTAAGGACAAACAACCCAGACATTTAGTTTGGTTCTTAAAGGTTGTTACCCAGAGTTGACAGCTGGTGGAGATTCAGCCTGATGACCAGGGAAGTCAAACTCCATTGGAAGGACTGCCCAGGCAGAAAGGCCAAGACCAATGCAGGGTCAACTCTTACAAGCAAATAAGGTCTCTGAAACTTAGCTAGGATTTCTCAGTCTCTAAGCCTGCAGGGCTGTGAAGCAGGGGAGCAATTCTGTTCCGGGAATCTACTAATCATAAAGTTTCCTTTGGGCACAGCCTGTGACATTCTCACCACTGTATAACTCGATAGGGAACACAATCAACGCTATTCAGTAGCATGACCACTTTCAAGGATCACAGAAACGTATCCGATAATTATATAAGAATCATATTCACCCAATATATCAGAAATGAAAGCTGAAATTAAACTGATTCCTAAAACATAATCTAATAAACTCTTCAACAAGAAAACAACAATGATAATAGTCCATATATTTTGTCTGCTTACTATGTTTCAGGCATAGTTCTAAGCTTTTTACATTCATCATCTCATTTACTCTTACAATATCCCCCATTAGGTGGTAAGCTGAATTACTAACCCTATTTGCAGATAAAGAAATTGCAGCTTAGAGATATTAAACACCTTCAAATTTCTCTGGCTAGAAAAACCTAAAATTGCAACAACAACAACAAATAAATCTAAGAGACAAAGTTAGGACTCAAACACAGGTGTCCAAGGCTTATAATCACTACACTATTCTGTATGATAAGCAAGCAATTGAGGAAGAACTGGACCAAACACTTTCTGTATGAACTGAGGCAAGTCATTCTACATCTAAACACTGGGGACAATAATATTCACTGTCGTTTTTCTCATAAATGCCTAAAGAACAAATTTAAGACTGCTGCTGTGAAAGCATCTGGTGAATGAAAGAATAGGTAATGTTTTAGAGAACCATTATTTTCATCCAATTCACTTGTTTTGTTTTTTTTTTGCAGTATGCGGGCCTCTCACTGTTCTGGCCTCTCCCATTCCAGGCTCCGGACGCACAGGCTCAGCAGCCATGGCTCACGGGCCCAGCCGCTCCGCGGCATGTGGGATCTTCCTAGACCGGGGCACGAACCCGCGTCCCCTGCATCGGCAGGCGGACTCTCAACCACTGCACCACTGGGGAAGTCCCATCTAACTAACTTTTCAAATAAGTTTATTTGCTCACTGAAACTGAAGTACTTCAAGGACAATCAGAAAGGTCTTACCTAAAACCACAATCAGCCGTTTCTGGAATGCATCTGTCATAGCCTTCTGAATAGCAAGCTTCTGGGTTACCTTCCTTTTCATAAGGAATGATAATGACCCTAAATCCAACCAA